GACCGCGCTGCCAACAGTGACATCTGCTGTTAGAGTCAGCGGCTGGGGTTGCCACTCAAACCATCCCACTCTTATGAGACAGAAAAATAGGGTCAAAGCCAAAACAGGAGCGCTCGCCTCGGGTTTCTGCTCACGAAGGGCTCCGAGCAGAAGTTAATATGCTGCATGTCCTTGGGTGGCCTCAAAACAGCACCAGTAGCCACACCAGCAGCTCCATCCGGTGAGAGCTGGAAGAAGAAGAAGCAACTGGAGGTTGAGAGCCATCATCACCCCTGGAATCAATGTGCCTTCTACACTAGTTGCAGAGAAAAAGCCATTCTCAAGTTACGCGTAACATCACTAATCAGGGGTGCCAAGATGCTGTTGAGAGAAAGCAAAGATCTGATCAATTAAATACATATTTTTAAAGTTCTAGGTGGTTTTCATAGATCATGAGCAAGCTAAGACAAGCTTTTGTTTTGGTAAGAGGGGTCAAAGAAATACACTGGGGAAGGGGAGAAGAAGGTAAGGAGTTGTTTATGAAAAGAGGTTTTCTTGAATCAAGTAAATCCTTGAAGGAAATAATGTTTCAGAAAAAAATTTTCAAAAAGAACATAAAAAAATTCTCAAAAGCACATATATGCACATTTTGTGTCCGTAACGCCACATGAAGGATTAATGTTTTTCTGTATATATCTTTAAGAGATCTTTTTTGATGTATCAACATAAATGAAGAAAAGTTAAACACAGAGAAACTTGTCTGCTGTAGTGAACCTGTAGTGCTACTCCTGCCCTTTATCCTGTAAGGCAAGAAAGAAGAAGTAGTGTACACTGCCTTTTAGTGCAGCGGAGGCCTTTCGCCAGTCATTCTGTTTACTCTCCCTTTCTCAGTATTCCACATCTCTGGAATACACTTCTCCAGCCATCTCATTTTACTAACATATTCTAATCCATTAAACTCACTCTGGTGAGCTTGCAGTGAACCATGACATTTCCAAATCAAAGTATAATCAAAGACCTTAAACCAGACCGCAGAGCTAAAATTCTCTTTCTTATCCCTTCACTTTATTTATAGAGGATTCATATATTCAAATGTACCAAATCATCCTGACAGAATAATTATTATGTCTTGTCATGTCATATTTTTTTAAACAATGTCAAATACTCAACTGAAGGACCTGCAGAAAACTAATAGCAAAAAAACCCAAAGCGAAACAATGGTGGATGAAAGACAACCCGTAATGAGCATGTCAAAACTTTATGTTTTCTCTGCTGCTTTACCTGACAGTTGATACTTTTGCAACACCAAGTGAAGTTAGTCCAATGATTTAAATCCTTAACATGATCCCCTATTCCAGATGCCATCTAGCTGGGTACAGGGCAAACAGTGTCAATTCCAGGGTATGACAGGGCTTCTTAACCTCTGCAAAGCCTTGCTTTTCCTGACCAACACTGGGATATAATCTGCATGGATTGTTACACCGTGATTTCTGAGATGTGAGATTGTCTCAATGTGCATCTAGGCTTATTCATATTTTTAATCTGTGTACCTGTATAAGCAAACTGTTCTGGGACGAGTCTCAGGAGCATATTGTCTTGAAAGCAAACACGTAGCGGGTAGGAATAAAACTACATTGCTAAAGTAAGCAAGGATAATGGAATACCAAACCAAATAGTAAAGATCACTTTTAGGGTTGCCTTCAAATGATTGCAGGAAACCCAAAGAGCTGAATGTTAGTAACTGTTGAATTTTTATTTTAAGCCAGTCAAGCAGGTGATTTTTGCATCCTCTTCAAATACTGGATTTTAATTTTAGTACTCTATACATAGCAGAATTAAGCATAGCTATAGAAAAGAGGTAGACATTTCCCTGTCAGATTTCTTCGCTCTTGTATTTTATCAGATGTGTTTAAATCTCATCTTGCACAAGTGGAAATGACTATTTCTTTTTTGCAAATGTACATAATATGATCAATCACTTCTTAATCTCCTCTTTGGTAAGTTTTCACTATAAAGCTCACTTTCCAGTCCCTTAATCATTTTCATTTCTCTTCTCTGACTCCACTCCAATTAAAGGAGATCTTTTTTCAGTTTGAAATATCAGAAATAGAACTAACTCCGCAGCAATAGTCACCCTAATGCCAAATATAGGGATATGTGGCATCTATCCACTTCTACTATAGTTTCCACAGTTTTTTGGCCATAGATTGGATTAACTCCTTCGGCCACAGCACCTCACTGGGACTTGTGCCCAAGGATTGCTACTGTGACCTAAGCTTTTCTTTTGTGACAGGGATTCCCAAGACTAGAGAAATTCAGTAGTCTTGAGTTTCTTCTGCTAAGGACCCCTTTGACATTTTAACAAGTCTCCTGAACACTTTTCATTTCCTACCTATTCCTAGACGGCCCTTCCTGTCCCCAGCCCTGCCTCCTGCCCCCTTTCCAAAAAATCTCAGTCATCTTTCCTTCAGGGACAGCTTAACAAATCGATGCAGTGATAAAGGTTTGTCACTCCTGCTGCTGCTCTGACTCTCCCCATCTGCCTGGAAGAGCTATAGTGAAAGCACAGAAATGGACAGAACCCCTTGCTGTAGCATATCATCTTCTGGACATTTTCCTGCCATATGAAATTGCGATTTATGGCTCAAATTAATGAACACATACTACCGCCTCGCCCAGGGGTGTTTGAGAGGGACCTTTTTGAGCCACTGGTCTGTGACATCCGAAAGCAGCAGACCCCTTTGGTTTCTGTAGGAGCAACACCTGGACCTCTCCTTCCTGCTGGGAGCACTAGGAACAGCACGAGGTGGTTTTCTCCTGGACCGTGGAAATGGGCAGCTTCTGCCTTGGCAGCCAGGCTGCATTGCTTCACTGAGCGGGCCTGGCTGATTGCATCCTCACCTTCTGCCATCAGCACAGTTTCAAGCAGGGAGGGTGCTGGCATGCCTCTCCCCTCTCAGCAAAGTAGATTAATAGGACTTTTCTTATTGCTCAAGGTTTCACGTTTTCTACAGCCACAGGCAGACATTACAACAGGTATTAAGCATATCAAGATCTACTTTCAGACTTCTTTTCAAACCACTAGCCTAGGCACTTGAGAAATACTGATTACCATCTGATAATTTTGAAATAATAATAATATGACTCTGGAAGGCTCTAAAAGCAAGTTTATGTCTAAAATGTATGTAGGAAGGGGATGAATCAGAACCAACTATGTTAATACATTAATTATTATATTAATAAATCAACATGTTCATATTATTATACCAGGTTTATGTTATTAAATCCAGAGGGGAAACAAGTGTCACAAGCAGGTGAACAAAAGGTTTCTCTGGGCAGGATGAAACTATGCAAACCTAAAGATCCACAGTGTTTCAGAAGGCTTGAGGCACTTTCAGAATTCAGTCTTTCTAACTGCCTATGCGTAAAAGATTCAAATCTGTTTGCATGCTTAGATTTTAAGATAACATGTAAATAACAGGTCACATATGTGCAGGTACAGTAGAGCGTTTGGAAGAGCTGAACCTTGTAAATTAGCAGAAGCTTAGAAGCTTAGCAAAATAGAACTTTAAGTTAAATAGCAAAAATAATGGTATGTGTACATATGTATAATTTGACAATACATTAGGTTTTGCTATTCTCTGCTAAGAATGATACCTTTAATCTCTTGCTGCATCTGAACATTTATTTGACAAACATAACCACGATTTGTTTCATCAATATTACAAAACTTGTGCCTCAAATAAAAATATTGTTGTCGTGGGACAAAACTTTAGATAATATATGCAGAAGTTACAGTAGCATCTAGGAGTTGATACTTTGTAGCCGTTTTCATTAGGGAAAACCATTATTAACAGTTAGCATTTTTTTCCTCAGCAAAGCACTTTCAAAACATTTGCTAATTAAAACCTTTATATCTTTTAGACAGTAAAAGTGCCTTTTCAACCTGCAACAGCTATGTAACTTATTTTATTAGTGGTTTAGTAATAAAGTCAGATAAACCTTTGATTTAATAATTAGCATTTATAGAGTGCTTTCTGCCTTCAAAGCACTTCGCAAACATTAACTAATTAATTCTTGCAACTCCCCTGTAATTTGGGGAAGCAAGTATATTCATACACGTTTGCCTGTGGTTTAGGGAAGAAAGTATTATCTCAGACATTTTATGAAACAGAGAATTAAAACATATAAATTAAGTTATTCACTTAATTCCACAAAGATGGAAGCGTTGTCAGAGTAGGAACTGAAACTAAATTATTCTCCTCATCCTCCTCTGTACTCCAGTCACTCGGCTCTTTCACTGGTTTTCTCTGGAGGGGTTTAGCCACGTCTGCCAAAGCAAAGCAAAGCTTTGGATGCTAAGGAGGTCCCTCCATCTTCTCTTTACGCAGTGGCTCAGGCCACTTGCTCGTGGTGCGTGCATGCCTCAGGAACACGTGCGGTGGTTCATGCGACAGGTTTGCCCGTGCATGCTGGCTGCGGGCATGCGGCCATCGGACACGGAGGGGGCCGCAGCAAAGGGTTGCAGTGGGGCTCCCAGGCCCTCCACCACACACAGGTGGTCACGTCTGACAAAGCAGACGCGTTTTGGCCGGGAGGAGGGAACAGGGGACACGTAGGGGCCTCAGCGGCAGCATGCGACATGGGAACCAAGCGTTAGAGTTAATAGGTCTCGCCCAGGGATGCTCTTCTGGGCTCTCTGACCTCACTAATGAACGCTGCCCACTCTGGTCTGCCTGGTGTTACCTCTCCCTGGCCATCACCACGATACGAAGACAAAATTAAAAAAAGAAGCGGTACTCTCCTGCTGACAGCTTGCTTTCTTTCTGCCTTGAGTACAACCTGCTACAAGTTTTTATTACTGTAGAACAGGAATATTGTTTGTTCCCTTTCTTTCCTATGGGTTTACTGATTTGGTACCAACAGTAATACAGCTTTCCTGTTTACTTCAGCCCAGCTAGCTACAATGTTGTGCTGCATTTTAGTCCTGTGATAGAAATGTACCTCTGCTTATGCTGCAGGTGGAACGAGGAGAGTACGAGCTGCAAGAAGGCTGCGCCATGGACCTGATGGTATGAGAGGACAACGAGGAGTCATTTCCAGTGTTTCGACTCAGCAAAGCAAGTATGCTCTTTTGACTCACAGGCTTTAGGAAATTTCCTGAAATTAAGATACTTTTATACAGCAAATAAAGGCCATTAACAAGATTTCAGAATGAGTGGCTTGTTTTCAGTGAATTTAAGAATTCCATCAGGTACAAAGGCCCAATTATTTATCATTCTTTGTTTTTGCTAAATGTTGGGAATGAATATTACTGTGTAAGTTCTTGTGTATTTTCGTAAGTGTATTTTTGTTTGAGTGATGAAATAGTAAGCCAGAAATCGATTGTATCAGTTTCAGCTCAGCGTATCAGTTTCTCTTCAACAAACATTTGAAAAATCCAAGAAACTTCAGGACATTTTTAATAGCTCAACTGAGCCAAGTTTTCATATGTCATGGTGTCTTCTTCAAGCAAGAGAAACAGGGTGAAACAGCAAGAGAGAGATCTGCTAATGCACACTTCATCATTACATTCAGATAAACAATACAATTAAATAATGTAGGAGGTCTGTAAAGATTAGAGAATTAGGGACTAAGCATTCCTTGGTGATCAGCTATTCGTTAAGTATTGAAGAGTAACTTTTTGTGATTCTGTTTCTGTAAGCCGGGTCTGTCAAGTGGAGACTACTAGAAAACAGAACAGTGCTGCATTTTGTGTTTGGTGTGCCAAGCACTATTTCTCTATGGAGATGAACAGATTTTTTTTAATTTGCTATTTTATTGTATTTATAATTAGCCGTCTGGAAAAAAAAGTTCTCTTTTAGCATCTGCAGTGATGCATTGATTCTTTCATTACAGCAAATACACATGACCCCCCGTGTTCAACTGTAAACAATAATAGTTACTGGCTTCATTAGGAAGCTAGCAGATGGCTTATAAGTTCTCATGGTAGCTTTTATCCATTTGAGGCTTGCAGTGTGCAAATGTTTGTCTTTTAAACAGGATAAAACAATGTAAAAGGGACTCTGTGCTTTGTTTTTATTAGTAGCAATTCATTTATGTTGCAGAGTTTAATCTGAGTATCTGAGTCCGCTGTCAATTTTTCCTGGCTGCAGGTAAAATACTTGCTGAGCCTTGCCTCTGCCTCTGTGGCATTTTCTGTACCAGAAGAAATGAGGTCAAATACCACTTATGGAGCTTTGCAGAGCTGTATTTTTCTTAGTAGGACTCATGTTATAAACCCAACCCCCCCCTTCCCTTCCCTTCCCTTCCCTTCCCTTCCCTTCCCTTCCCTTCCCTTCCCTTCCCTTCCCTTCCCTTCCCATGCCCTCCCCTTCCCTTCCCTTCCCTTCCCTTCCCTTCCCTTCCCTTCCCTTCCCAAATCAAGTGGTGCCCCCTTTCAGCAGAGAGGCAGCACTGCCTCTAGTTTACCCTACATGGACTGAGGATCTGACCATGGAAATTATTAGTGCCATTTTGTCATTCCAAAACATTATTTACACAGCCAGATTTTGTGTACAGTTTTGGAATATCTGATGAATAACAGCTGATTTACTCTCATCACCAGTCAGGTGCCTGGAGTGTGATGAAGTTCAGGATGCTTCCCAGATAGGCTGCAGGCAGTTGCAATGACTGTCAAACGTAACTGCTGTATTTATTACCTACCTGGGCAGAGCTATCTGAAGACCAGTTAATCTTCAATAACATTTGGTAGAGCACAATAGCTCTTTTAAAGCAGAACAGTTTTATTTTAGTGTGTGAGTCTTTGATGGCTTTTCTCGTACTTCTAATACAGCCCAGGCTCTCATTACTATTTTCATGTACTCAATTTTGTTGGTAGCTGGAATCAAGCTGCATTATCGAGAAATAGAAGCAGGGGTCATCTATTAAATATGGTGTTAAATACCTTCCGTTCTCTTTGAAGGCACAGACACATGGCAGTGCAAACTGCCTCAAAGTGTTGCACCGCTGTGTTTCAACTGGATCTGCACATGGAGGAGCCACTAGGTAGTTCATAGTTCATGTTCGTTCAGTATTGGCTGCTCATGGTTTCTTCACACTAAGGCATAAGCATTTGACTGGTTGATTTTACAATATGAATGCCTCTCTTCAGATAGAAATCAGCCATTTGTTTTGGAAAGGACCATCAAAAATTAGAAACTTTTGTATAGGAAAAGTCTTAAATGGGCTTAAATGAACCTGACTGCCTGGGCCTTGTGTTTCCTTATTGTACAGTAAGAGCATGAGTATCAAATTAGGGGGCTTTTTTGAGTAAACAGTGATCTAGTGAATCTTTAGGGTTTCATATTGTATTTTCATGTTCTATATTCAGTTTTAAAGTTCAAAATTACTTTTGTAATACATGTCTATCTCCTGGAAGAGATATTGAAATTTTGCTTTCAGAGCATGTATTTTCACTTTTTATCCTCTTCTTTTTTATTAAAAATAATATTTGCATAAAAAACTTTCTTTCCTCCAAGCACATCTGCTCTTGCTTCTACCTCACCTGAAGATCTAACCCTTCGCATGTGACATCTTCAATGAAGAATAAGCAGCAGGCGCAGATGAGCTTTCAAGAAATAAAGATCCTATTTTCATGCAAATGTACTAGTAATTAAAAATGATGGGAGAAAAAAAAAAGGCAACTCAATATACAATACTTTCAAATTTTAATTTGAGGTATAATAGTTTTAAACTTTTCTGTAAGAACTTCCAGACTCTTTAAGTGGTTTAGTTTTGAGAACAGTAATACTTGTCATTCAGATTAATGGGTTAGTTTTTCTGATCAAAAGACACCTTTAAAATAAGTTTGGGTAATAGTAAGAAGTTTTAAAGGTTTTTTTCCCTGTGGTTTGAAAGAAAGTTAATTAATTCCTAAGTAAACTGAACTTCCATTCAAGTCTGTGGGTGAAGTATAGCTGTATGCAAAAAGCCAGCCTGAGGCCTACTACAAGCCCCTCGTGAACTCCACTACAGAAAGTATGCCAGGCTGTATCTTCAACATTTACTCTTGCTTCGTTAACCATCTCACCTTTCCTGAAGGAAGCATTTTACTGAAAAACAAAGACTCTGTTTTTATTAAGTTTTACCATTCCTTATTAATCACTTCAAAGCTTACAAAAGCAGGAAGGGGAAGATACTTTGTGGTAGTAATGCATCCCACAATTCTATCCTTTTAAAACCACTGCAGAAACTGAGAAAGATTTAACTTATACCTACTCTATTCTACTCTACTCTACTCTACTCTACTTTACTCTACTCTGTCCTATCCTCTGTTGAGATCTTGAGCATTCTCAATTCTCATGACACATGAAGAGATGACAAGTGCACAATTCACAATAAAATAAAATCATTGCCTAAGCATTGGACCTCGTTCTGTTCATCTTCAAAGTTGTAAGGTTGCAGAGTTGGAATGCATAAGCAACTTCTGCCATTTTATCCTATGCTATTTAAATTCATTACTCAGTATATAGAAGTAGTCACAGCTCCCAAATGATAGGTACACCTTTATTGATTAGAAGTAAGTTTATTTCTGATGGGTTTGGAGAGGCTGGGCAGTACATATATATACATACACACACATACACATTTATATATATATAAACAATGGAAAGCTGCATAATTTAGATCCCGCAGAATGAAGAAGTGAGGTATTGATGATTTATTGATTACAGCTTACATTTAGATGAGGAGATGCAAGAGCTGATAAATAATGTAAATATTTTAAAATTCTGTCAGTGATAATCTAAAGGGAATATTGTGATTTGCAGTATACTTGGAAAAATTCCTTCACTAATGCTTGCAACTAGAATTTCTTGTACAACAGGCTGAGGTACGGCCCATGGACTTCACAGGGACTTGGTAATGCCCCATCCACATCAGCTAATTCTTTCTTCCTTTGCATTTCTGGCTTGTTTTTTGGTTGGTTTGTTTGTTTTTTTTTCCTAGGGGAGGGAGGTGGACCACAAGAATAAAGTGAGGCAGCTCTATGGAAAACTAGATGCTATGACATAACATAAATTATGTTATTAAGCAAACATAAATGCTATGACTAGGACCTACAACTACATTTCAGTGCTTCAAATTTCAGTGGAATGAAGAAATGGAGGAGGCTAATAGAGGTTGGGTGTAGCTATGATAGGTACAGCAACCCATGCTGTACTAATTTGTTCCTGGATAAGATTTACTCAAATATTTTCGCTTCACTTTCATGCAAACTATTGGAACTTCATCATAGGTTTGCTTAGCTGGTGCCTTAGGCAGCTACACCAAGTGTTTGAGTTTCTTGTGGTAATGAACAATTAAAGCTAACTGAAAGCGCCTATATTTTTATAATTGATTTAGCAGTTGATTGTCTCTCAAGATTAATGATTTCCCTGTGCTCAGCAAGTAACATTGTCAGTTGATGCCTGAAGCCATACTATTTTTATTGCAAACATCATGGATGAAACATCATTTTTGTCAATTATAATTTGAGGGGTTGAAACAAATTGTTCATAAAAGTAGAGAATATAAAATAGAATTTTTAAGACCACCATATAGACCATAGCCGATTACTATTTAGTTATAAATTAGCCACCAGTAAGTACCTTTGATACATTAATTCTTCTCCATATAATAACATAAAGCAAGGAACTCTCAGTAAATCCTCTTTTTACAGTAGTGAGATTGCTTCCGTTTGTGCTTCTACCCTCATTTCATTTTCATAGCTTCCTTCACTACATGCCTATTAAAAACATTATTCTATTTCTTCCAACCTATTAGAAAGACTTATAAAAAAATTCTGGATGTCTTGAAAGCTTTGTAAAAGAAACAATTAAATGGAAAATCATCCAGAACGGGATCCCAAGAAACTATTCTCAAATGCATTGGGCCTATTTGTATTCATCATTGTACTCAAAAAGATAGGAATAATACCGCTGATACCAGTCATGCTAGCAGCAGATTGCTCTATTTTGCATATTCTACCAAAAATGGTCATTAGTATTGCAAAACTAAGCATTCAAAAGTTAGAAACTTACAATATTATGAAAAGAAGCATTAGGAGATTGCTTTAAGGAGGGAGAGTAGGGATAATTTGCATC